TGATGCTTAGAACAATCTCCTTCTCTCTCTCTGCCCCGCACTCTTGGTAAAGCTAAATGAAAAGACTCATTGTCTCATGGAGAGGAGAAAAATTGCTAGAACAAAAGTCAAAGCTGTTTAATTGTTTTAAAAAATATTCTTTCCATTCCCCCAAATGCTTCATGGAATCTGTTCTGATTGAATTAACCTCTGTTTCTCAGCACAACAATTTTTCTCATATACCCATATGTGAAAGGAACTGTTTCTCAAACATCATTTTGTTCTCCAGTTGGAACTGGCTCTGGCTCCTGTTCTTCAAATGCTAGCAGCTGTAATGCCGCCCTGAGAAACAGTGATTAATGTGGGCTACGTGTACTGACTTATTTTTTCTTGTTTCACTGCCATTGCATTTTTTTTTTTTTTTTTTTTTTTGCGGTACGCGGGCCTCTCACTGTTGTGGCCTCTCCCGTTGCAGAGCACAGGCTCTGGACGTGCAGGCTCAGCGGCCATGGCTTACGGGCCCAGCCGTTCCACAGCATATGGGATCTTCCCGGACCGGGGCACGAACCCACGTCCCCTGCATCGGCAGGCGGACTCTCAACCACTGCGCCACCAGGGAAGCCCTGCATTTTTTTAAAAAAAGCCTGTCTTGTCTGATATGAATATTGCCATGCTGGTTTTATGTTGACTTGTCTACAGTATCCTTTTCCCCATTCTTTTAGTTTCTATTAAACAGCTTTTTTGAAGTCCAACTTAAAACAATAAAATTCATCACTTTTAAGTGTATAATTTGATGGGTTCTGACAAATGTATAGAGCCACGTAACCTCCACCATAATCATGATGTGAACATTTCTGTCATCCCCAAAATTTCCCTCCTGCCCCTTTGTAGCTGACCCTCTTTTCCCATCCCACCCCCTGGAACCATTGATCTTTCTGTCACAGAGTTTTGCCCTTTGTTGAATGTCATATAAATAGAATTGTTCAGTATGTATACTTTTTGTGTCTGGCTGCTTTCACTCAGCCTAATTATTTTGAGATTCACTCATTACATCATTCCTTTAACTGCTGAGTAGTAGTCCATTGTATGGACGTACCACAATTTATTTATCTGTCCGTTAATATATGGACATTTGCATTGTTCCCAGTTTTCAGCTTTTACAAAGAAAGCTTCTACGAGCATCTGAGTATAAGTCTCTGTGTGGGTGTGTTTTTATATCTTCTGGGTAAATATCTAGGTTGCTGGTTTGCCCAGTTTGCCCAGGACTGAGTTTTCTGGGATGAAGAACTTTCAGTGCAAAAACACAGGCAGTTCTAGGCAAACCAGACCAGTTGGTCACCCTGTGCTGTCTCATTTGGGAAGTGTATGTTTAACTGAATGAGAAACGGCTAAATTGTTTCCCTAAGTGGCTACACCCTTTTGCATTCTTACCAGCAATGTGTTGGGATTCCAGTTTTCCACATCTTCGCCAATACTTGGTTATATCAGTCTTTTAAATTTTTGTTATTCTAGTGGATTTGTCATGGAATGTCATTGTGATTTTTAATTTGCATTTTTCTAATGACTAAGAATGTTGAACATCTTCTCATATGTTTATTTGTTATCTGAATGTCTTCTTTGGCAATGTGAGTGTTCAAATGTTTTGCACATTTTCAAGTAGGTTGTTTGTCTTCGTGTTGAGTTATAAGAGCTTATGTCTGGAGATAAATGATATATCAGATAATGTTTTGTAAATCTTTTCTACCAGACTGTGACTTGCTGTGCCATTGCATTTTGAAAAAAGAACATTAAAAAAAAATCTTTTATTGAAGTATAGTTGATTTACAGTGTTGTGTTAATTTGTGCTCTACACAGAGTGACTCAGTTATACATATACATACATTCTTTTTCAAATTCTTTTCCATTATGGTTTATCACAGGATATTGTATATAGTTCCCGTGCTATAGTAGGACCTTGTTGTTTATCCATTCTATATATAATAGTTTACATCTGCTAATCCCAAACTCCCAATCTACCCTTCCCCAACCCTCCCTCCTCCTTGGCAACCACAAGTCTGTTCTCTATGTCTGTGAGTCTGTTTCCGTTTTGTAGATAAGTTCATTTGTGTCATATCTTAAATTCCACATATAAGTGATATCATATGGTATTTGTCTTTCTCTTTCTGACTTACTTCACTTAGTATGATAATCTCTAGGTCCATCCATGTTGCTGCAAGTGGCATTATTTCATTCTGAAAAAGAGAGTTTTAAATACTTTTAGATACTAACATGTATTTTTAAATTATGGATTTGTGTGCCATTGTTTTATTAGAGTGGTCATAAGTAAGCATCAAAGTTAATATAAGGTACATTAAATGGCTCAGTATGACACAAATTAGCAATGTGTACTTTATATTAATTGGTTTGATTGCATAGTGATGATAATAATAATAAGTAGCTATCGCTTCTTGAGCATTTACTATGTGCCAGGCAGTGTTCTATGTGCTTTACATATATATGAGCTGATTTAATTCATGCAACGACCAGGTTTCGTCATTATCCCCAGTTTAAAGATGAGGAAACTGAGGCAGAGAGAGGGAAAGTAACCTTCTCAGGGTTAGACAGCTAGAAGTGTTTATTTCTGTTTATTTTTAACTCCCTATCCCTCACCTATCTTCAGGGCCTTTTGGTTAGCCATGGTAACTTGAAAATGCAGACACTTCTTGAAATCCACAGTAAACCCAAGCCACATGAAGTGGTATTTGTTTTTTGAAAATGATAATTATCCACCACATCATGCTCTAAATGTTTGGATTTAATTGCAGATGTGTCAGGATAGACGTGCGCCTTCAGAGCATGTTGTATACATTTTAAAAGAAATAAACGTGGACTTTGTATTTGCTCAGATGGGAGGAAGGAGAACATCATTAAGATAATAAATCACATATAAATGACATAACACACTTAGAATGTCACATATAATGTGATAAATACCAGGGAAACTTGACAGTAAACAGTAGGTTTAAGATCAGAGAAAGAGGCAAAATCTTTTTTCTTCCTTTTCTAAAAAGGAATCTCGCAGATTAAGCTATGAATAGGGAACAGTCCAATTAGTAAAGAGTTTAATTTGTTTATAAGGGGTGGGCAGTAGTTATCTGTAATGAACTAGCAATGCTCTAGAGCTTCACCCCTTTATCAGCTGCATACCCTTGGGCAAATTATTGAACTTCTCTAGTTACTGTAAGAATTAAATGACTTAATAAATTTAAAGCACTTGGCCCAGTGCCTGGCACATAGTAAGTGCTGAATAAACATCTGCTATTTTTAATAGAATTTTAATGCATAGTGAAAAGTGAGCTAGCTCAACACAGCAAGTGTGAAAAACTGTGGACTTTGAAGGTCGACAGGCCTGGGTTCATCTACAGGTCAATTCCTGAAAGCAGTTTGCTGAGCAAACAGTTCACTGAATTATTGAGTATTATTTTTTCATGTTTTAGGAAGTGGTCTCTGCCCCTGCCCTGCCGTTTCCACCTCTGGTGGTGAAACAGCTATGGCTTTTCATGAATTGCCTTCCGGGGACTTGACCTACAGCTAATCAAGTTTTCTGCTAATCGGTAAATTGGCAAATTAGCCTCTTACCCTGGGTTTGAATCCTTACTTTGCTAATTACTTTAGCTGGGTGACCTAGGTCAAGTTACTAAACTTCTCTGAGCCTCAGTTTCCCCATCTCTAAAAAGCAGAAATAATAATTCTGATTTATGCAAGATAGAGACGAAGATTGAATGAAATCAGTTGGGTGAAATTGCCAAGCACAGGTTAAGGATTTAGTAAAGACTTTACAGGCAGATGATCTTCCTTAAATGTTGTTCCTCCTTAAATATTCCCTCCTCCTCACTAAGTTGTATAAATTAATAAATTGCTATGATACCCACTATAATGATAGAAACTAGAAGAAAAATACGTTTAAACCTAGTCCCAGGATATTGCCTTCTCCATGAGGGTTTGCCAGGCAGAATAGGCAACATCATTCACCATGTGGAAAGTACCTTTCTCATCCCATGTGAAGCACTGAGATTGGCCATCCTGGGAAACCCTGGATCTGACCATGTCGCTTCCCTGCTCAGAATCTTTCCTCCAGAGCCTTCATGCCAGCTACTCTCCAGGACCAGTACAGAAAACGGGTAAAGTCTGGTCAAGAGTGTGCTACTCTGGTTGAAACTCCCTCACCCCTGTGGATATCTGAAACTCAACTCAAGAGTCAAAATTCTTTCTGCATCCGAGAGCTTTGTGCTCAACGTTGCGTTTGATCCTATTCTTCTCTGGTCCCCTAACGCTGTTGCTTGTTTGCCTGTCCTCGCCTCCCCATGTGTGCCAGACACTATCCTGAATGCTTTCACTATGTGGATTAAGTCACCCAATTAACCATATTCCCACATGGCATGAGGAGGTTAAACAGATTGCCCAAGGTCACACACAGTTAGCAAGTGTCAGAGCCAGGACACTTCAAAGCCAGGCGGTCTGGTGCCAGGGTCCAAGCCCTTAAAAACACTGCACCACGTTCCCTCTTAATAGATGTGTGTGGAAGGCAGGGAGGCTAGGAGGCTAAGTCATGCTAACTTATGCAACCGTATATGTATTCCTTGGGAAACATATATATTAGTTTGTACCATCCACTATTATTAGACTAAGAAAATACTGTTACTTGGAATCCTCAGATGTAGTTTTTCCTTTTTCAAATCTAAGATATAGAATGTGACTATGAATAATTGATAATGAACTTGATTGAAAAGAAACTTCAGGGTAGACTTTTTTCCCCAAGTTTTCCATTCAGTCTTATAGTGACAAAAATTTCAACTATGCACGCCCTGCTCAGAGTATCCAAGGACCTACCAGTGGGTCTGAGGGTCATACACACAAATGGAATTTTCAGTACAAGTGGCCTGTCTGATCTGGGGAAAGGCGGGGGCGAGTCTGCAGCACCTAGCGTTCAGGGAGACCCAGAAACCTCGCCCCGCCCTCTTCTCCCAGTGTGTTTGTCACAGCCTTGCCCCTCTTTGTCTTCTTGAAGATGGAAAAGATGCTGGTGGGCTGCTTTCTGCTGATCCTCGGACAGATCCTCCTCCTACCCGCTGAGGCCAGGGAGTGGCCTCCTTCCAGGTCCATCTCCAGAGGGAGACATGCTCGGACCCACCCTCAGACGGCACTCCTGGGTGAGTGACGGGGCTCCACCTACAGAAGTAGGAAGAGGTGGTCGAGGGTGGACCTCCAGACCAGGGGATGGGTGTCCGTCGGGGCAGCTCTCCCAGCCCTGGGTCCCGTGTTGGGCGTGCTGGGGGAGAGGGCATCTCATTGGCAGTGAGTGCGTCCTGAGTTGAGAATGTGGTTGTACACGGGTTTTCAAATGAAATTAAACCTCTTCTATTGCAAAGCTTTTCATTTAATCCGAAGCTCATGACTTTTCTCCAATAAGCAAGGGCACGAGTTTTCATCTGAAAAAGTCCTGGTTGGACTTACCTGGACAAGGGTGTTATGAGAATTTTTTATTGGATTTGTCTGGCTAATCTGTGTTAATAATGCTTCCCTGCCTGGCAGCATGAGAAGCAGAGCAGGCGGGTTTGGGGAAGGTGGGAGCCGGCACAAAAGAGAGGTGGAATCAAGATATTAGAAATGGAAAATGTTAGAGGTCTGTTAGGCTCACCCAGTGAACGTGTTTTCTTCCGGTGAATTCTTTTCTGTCTCCAAGAGGAAGGAAAGGTCCTGAAAACACACAGAATATAGATGTATGGGCCTGGTTCTAAACATGGGCTCTGGAAAGCCTAGGATGCGGGGGTAACAGGAAGGCTGGCCAGTGGAAGGATGGTGGGTTTTGGCATGGACCTGAGTTCATGGACCTGGCTCTGGTACTGACCAAGTGTGTACACTTAGGCAACATGACCTCTCTGAGGTTCAGTTTCCTCATCTATAAAATGGGAATGTTAATGCTGATCTTGGAATATTTTTGTGAGGAGAAAGCAAGATAATTAATATATGTAAATTATAGGTATGCAGTGAATGAAAGCTTTACCACAACCATCATTCCATGAAGTTGTTCTCCAAAACTGTGTTTTATATTTGTACCCCCTAAAACCTCACCCCCTGTGAAGGCCGTTGAGAGAACTGCCCAGTGTCTGGTCGCCTCAGCATCCGAAATGACAGTTAGAGACCAGAGGAACAAAAAGCTCTGTTTTGAGAGGTCAGAATCTTTACGGTGTTAACCTAAACAATGACTCCATGATGCTGGGCCCTCCATGTCTTTAGTCTCTTGAGAATCTGTTTCCATAGTGACATAAACATAGGGCTTATGCAAATGTGGAAAGGACTGGGGGATATTTAGTACGCTGATTAAAGGGTTTTTTTTTTTTTTTGCGGTACGTGGGCCTCTCACTGCTGTGGCCTCTCCCGTTGCGGAGCACAGGCTCCGGACGCGCAGGCTCAGCGGCCATGGCTCATGGGCCCAGCCGCTCCGCGGCATGTGGGATCTTCCCAGACCGGGGCACGAACCCGTGTCCCCTGCATCGGCAGGCGGACCCTCAACCACTGTGCCACCAGGGAAGCCCTAAAGGGTTTTTTTAAAAACAAATTTCAAGATGATAAACATATACCATCATATGATAAACATGTCTATCTATCATCTACCTATGTATCTAACTATCATCTATCTCGCTATCTAGAAAGACAGAGGTGGTGGAGATGTGTAGGCGTGTGTGTGTGGGAGACAGAGACAGAGAGAGAGAGAGAGAGAGAGAGAGAGAGAGAGAGAGAGAGAGAGAAAGAACTGGAAATGCCTGATTCCTAGATCAGCAGCAGCGATTACACAGTTGGGTTTCTGATGGGGCTGCTTTTGGAATGAGACTCTACACTCTTAGCCAGAAAAGCATACTCCTCTTGGTGTCAAATATCTCTGCCCCCATGCCGTCCCCACCCCCTGCCTCTCTCTCTCTCTCTCTCTCTCTCTCTCTCTCTCTCTCTCGCTCTCGCTCTCGCTCTCGCTCTCGCTCTCGCTCTCGCTCTCGCTCTCGCTCTTCTCTCCCCACCTCCGACACATACTTGTACACACACATGCACACAAACACACACACTCACACACTCTCATACCCCCTCCCCCCCCCACGGGGCGTCCCCTAGTTGTCAGCATTCACTGCCCTCTCCTTCACCCTGAGCTCATGGTCTGAAGTAGAAACCCCTTGTCTTCGGAGGTAAAAGATCCTGTTTTGCTAAGGGCATCCATCCCACGTCCAGTATCCTCCCCCTCCCCTTTTCTCATTTTGTAGGAGAATGTGTCTGGGGCAGAGAGGGGGATGGGATATGGCACATCTCTGCCCCCCAGGGGATGGCATGGCCACTCCCTGACATGCTGGAGGGCTGCTTGACTTGGGAACATGGTGAGTGAGTGAGAATCGTGAAACCAAAGGCAAACACCGCGACTCTGGCCTGGATCCTCTAGTGCCATCTGCTTTTGGTCTACCTTTGACAGCGAACAGAGATGGAGAAGCTGTGCTTGTTGTGGTCCTTGCCCTGGTCACTTATTTTGTGGCAAATCATTTTGGCTGTATTTGTGATATCCACTGCGTGGTGTATTTCCCCAGTTACTTGCTTGCATGGGGCGTCTCTGAAAGTTTAACAGAGTAGAAGCAGAATTGTTTCTTAGGCTAATTTTTCGTTTGAATTTTCTGATTTTTAAAAAAATATTTATGTCTAAATTCAAGTCAGAGGCCCAGTAACAACTTGAGCCAGTTAAAAAAAAATAATGCAGATATTTATCTGCCCTCCTATGAATGTTTGCACGTTGCCCGGGCGGTAGCCTGTGATGTGTGTCCATGTGGGCTTCCCGTCTACTTCATTCATTCATCTGGACTTTCTGCTTTGTGCCAGACATGAGGGGGTTAAAGAACAACCGCCATCAGGAAACACTTGTGCAGTGGGGGAGACAGACATGTAAAAAGGTCATTAATTTGGTGGAGTCGGTGTGCAATGGGAGAGGCATAGCTAAGTTACAGCTCTACTCTGCCTGCTGTAGGCTCAGTATAAGAAGGTGAGCTCAGTACACTCAAAAATTATTGAGGATAACAAAGAGCTTTTATTTTTGTGGGTTAAGTCTACTGAGGTTTACTGGATCAGAAATTGAAATGGAGAACTTTAAAAACTATTAATTAGGGGGGGCTTCCCTGGTGGCGCAGTGGTTGAGAGTCCGCCTGCCGATGCAGGGGACACGGATTCGTGTCCCGGTCTGGGAAGATCCCACATGCCGCGGAGCGGCTGGGCCCGTGAGCCGTGGCCGCTGAGCCTGCGGGTCCGGAGCCTGTGCTCCGCAACGGGAGAGGCCACGACAGTGAGAGGCCCGCGTACCGCCAAAAAAAACCCTATTAATTAATTAATTTAAAAATAACAATAATAAACCCATAACCTAACCATAATGTAAGTAAAAATATTTGTATAATAATATTTTCGAAATAAAAAAGTTGTGAGAAGAATGGTAGGATTTTACATTTTTGCAAATCTGTTCAGTGTCTGGCTTAATCAAAGACAGCTGGATTCTCATTTCTCATCCATTCAGTCTGTCATGAAATATTGTTTTGGTTGGGTTACATGAAGAAACTATGGCCTCACACAGACATGTAGTCAGAAAAAGAAGACGTTTTTTAATAGCCTTTTCATGTGATTATGGATATTCTTCTGCGATAGGACACCAAAACTTGACAAATGGTAGTTCCTTAAAGGTTAACTGCAATGTGGAATCTAAAACCACATCAATAAACATTTCGAACGATGTTCACACATAAGAGAGAGTATAAAAGGCAAACATTAGTACTGTTACAAAAATAGTTTTGATCTCATGGACCCTGTGAAGGGGGTCCCCAAACCACACTTTGTAAATGGCTGGTTTCGGGAAACATTCCTAGGGAAAGTTGAGGCCATGTGGACCTGGGGGAGGAGCTGGCAGGAGAGGGGTGAGGATGGAGCACGGAGGCGGGACTTGGTGAAGCCATCGGGGCCACCCTGTCTGTCAGGCAGGTGGTCTGAGCTGGGGACAAGCCCAGAGGAGTTGGGAACCAGCTCACTTAGGACCTCAGGGGCTCCGACGAAAAGTCTGGGCTTCATGCTGCAGGGGTGGGAGTCCCTGGAGGACTCTCAGCTGACAACAGTGGCGATCACTGCTGACTCCTTTTCTACCCCCTACTGTGCCATCTGGACTGCCTAAGCCTTCCAGGGCTGGGGCAAAGGGCCGGGAGAGCCTGCAGTCCCAGGCCACCAGGAAAACCAGTGAGCACATTCTCCAACTCAAAGTCCCTTCAAGGCAACTGTGCCGGCAGGTGGAGTTGGAGCCGCAGGGTGTGCTGTACGCAGAGCCTAAGCTCATGGGAGCCTTCAGGTTCTTTCCTCTGCACCCATCCTGCATCAGTGGCACCTGTCCCCTCACAGACTCTTCCCTAAGTTCCCCTCAAGGTGGTGCTAACTGGAAGTCCTGTTGCTTCCCATCCTTAACTGCTGCCTGCTTTGCTTGTGCACATTTTTCTCTTTACTATATGACAGTCATATGGGGGTGGACCTGTCGCCAGGGCAACCAGTGGGGGCATATCAGCCTTTTTGGAAACTTTCACCCTCCTTGCCCAAACTCCCAGTGTATTGGTGACTCCCCTCACTCCTGGAATGAGAGCACACACTCAAACTGCGCTTCAGCCCACTGGCTCCCCTGTTTCATCTGTCTTTTACCAAGTCTTGTTGACATGTGCTTTCTTTTCTAAATTTACCAGCCTATCTCATTTTATTTCTACTTCCTCTCCCTATAATAGATTCCCCTTTTGGATCAATAGCACCCACGAAGAATTCATGTTTGTGGGTTTTTTTTAATATTAAAAAAATTAAATTTGAAAGGAGGGTGACCCCATAGTGTGTGTAGGGGATGGTGGGAGCTGACACTCCCTCCCCCCACACACTCTGCTAGGAAAAATTCCAGAGGTGTACGAGGGTGGAGGTCACAGAATTTAGTGAAATTTCTTCATAGCAGTTAATTTACTACTTAAAAATAAAGCTAATAAAGCTAATCTAAGAACTCACTGTATACAGCCCCAAATTCTGTTCCTTGGAAATCACAGTACATTAGGAGGCATTTATTTTCAATTCTGCATACGTCTCTAGTTAAACCTGACATCAAAACATGAGTAAAAATGCA